TTTATGCTCGCGCTCAACAAGATCTCTCAAGTCATTTGCATAAGTTTCATTTAGACGGAAGTTTCCAAAAAATGCACCAAAGATTTTGCTTATGCCAGTAAAAACACTACACAATGGCCTGGCCACATGAAAATGGGGACGAAGTGAGGGAGAAGTTGCATTTTAATTCTGAAACAGAATAAGAAAGCGCCTCCCTCCGTGCTCTTTGAATGGCGTGTTCTTTGACACACTGATAAAAATGTCTTAAACAGCCAAAATTTACTCCGGTTTTCTTGTTTTTATAAAATATTCGATGAAAATTAGTTTTTTTTTCTTCGGATTTTGTTTCTGCTATTGAGATTATGGACGATGTGGTCGACTTTGAAAGAAATGAGATCAAAATAATTTAATACCACGTCTACCCGATTCTCTCAGCTTAACATATGGCTCGTTTTCAGCAAAGATCCAGTCAGTACCGACCTCATCTATCAACAGATTGCTCGAGGAGTTAAATACGGTGAATACCGGAACGTTAAGGTAATGTGTGTTGAAATAATTCTCTAAATTGGTATTTTATGAATTTGTTTGATATTTGCATGCAATGAGGATGGCTGTTTGAAACAGGAAGAAGAATTGGCAGTGCTCACTGCTCAGCAGTACTGTATCGATCATGGCTGTCTGATCAACACCGACAATTTAGAGCAAAGCTTATTGGCATATCTTCCGCAAAACGAGATCGGTGATGCTGATGAAAACGACAACGAGCGATGGCTTCAGCTTGTACTTCATGCATTTAGAAAGGCTAGTTCTCGTGGTCGCAGCCTGCTGAAACGTAATGGAAAATTTTATCTAATATCATGCCTGCATCACAATGTTCAGTGAGATGAACCTCTTCCTAAGGCGCCTTTATCTTCCAAAAAAAGCCGGGAATACAATGTTGAATTTAATTTTCACCTCTGCAGTATTTCGACGTAATTTTGGTCTTGCGGTTTGCTAACCAAACACAATCTGTCCTTAGTGTGGCAAAATTCTTTGTTGTTTGAGAGGTCCCTCTACTCTTACATTTTTTGCAGCCCTTCTTCACCCCTACCCTCTCCCAATTCCACCTTGCCTCTATCTTTTCTATTCGTGCTCTAAGGAAGGAACACTCGGAGGAATGCTTCGAGTAATAGCAGCACCCATCTATGGGAACTTTCGTAGAAGCATATCGGGTGGGCCTCCAACACTTCAACATGCACCAGTAGTAATTACCACTGGAATGAATTATTATTTTTTTGAACAGCGAGTTGGAATCTCTCATCTGAGCTTGTGAGCAAGCACTGCTTGCTGCAGCAGCCCATACGAGCATAATCCATACCTAGTAGAAAGCGTACCGGCTGCCGGTACGAGGATGCGTTTTTTGCGCAGTTCCCCCCGCAGGCTTTTTTCGCCAGTGGCTCGTTCTTTCTGGCAGATGTTTCTAGCTAAAAGAGTTGAGACTGGCCACAACAACTGTTAGAAATTATTACAATGACTCCCAATCAATGCCCAGAAGATCCGGTGCTCTAGATGCTTCGGTTGCACAGTTATGCCAAGTTTTACGTGTCCGT